ATAGATAGATAGATAGATAGATAGATAGATAGATAGATAGATAGACAGACAGACAGACAGACAGACAGACAGACAGACAGACAGACAGTTTTTGCTAATGCAGTTGATGATGATGATGATGATGATGATGATAACATGAACATTTCTTTACAGTAAGCTATCTTCTGATGAATCAAGAATCCTATGCTTCATTTTTGCCACTCAACTGGTGAACAAAAATCCCCAGTTCCTGCAGAACCTCACATTGGGCTACAGCATCTATGACAACTATTTCAACACCCTTCACACTTCAGATGCCTTGCTAGACATGCTTTCTACTGGAGAAACCAATGTTCCCAACTACAGCTGTGGAAGGAAGGACAAACTTTTGGCTCTTATTGATGGAGCTGACAATGACATCTCCATTCAGATGTCAACCTTAGTAGGCACCTACAAAATCTCACAGGTTTGTGTGTGTGTGTGTGTGTGTGTGTGTGTGTGTTTTTCTATCTGGTAAAGTGAGTGGGCTGATGTAGGTGAGCAATAGATTCAATCATATTTTGTCTGTAGAATTAAAGAGCTGTTTTTCATCATGGCCATTGTATTTGTTATGGCTAGTGATCGTGATCCATAGTGAGGATAAGGCAAGGATCAGAGCAGAGATCCTGTCATGATACCATTTCCCTCATTTATGCTGCACACGTACGAAGGTGTGTCCAATGAAAGGATCTTTCATACAAAAAATAAGGAGCAGCAGTGATGAGAAACTAATATTTTCTATATAATCTTAGACCAAATAATTATATTTTCAATGGCGAACATATCTACATTCATGAAAAAAATCCTAATGGATTACCTTACCCACAGCTGATAAAGCATAAAATATGTCTCATGGACTCAGGCATATGCTCTCAGTGTGCATAAGGAGAATAAAATGCATTCATCAAGAATAAAAAGACACAACACTTAGTGATAGTCATAGGTTACTAATAAGCTATCAAATCATACTAGGAAACAAATAAAAACAATGTAAATTGTAAAGATCCAAGCAACATGGTTATAGTCATAAGTGGGGAGAGATAGATGCTAGGAAGGAAGAGAAGAATAATAGTAATGCAGTCTTAATAAATTATTGACTGTTGTGGAAATTAGTCATTAAGCAGGGTGATGGCAGATAACAGATATCTCTGCTAGAATAAACACAATCATATCATCTGAGAAATGTCTTAGGAGTGGATAAAAGTACTTCAGAATGTGAAGAACCATTCGGTCAACATATTTATATTTGTAGAGCTCCAGAAATAGAAGATGTAACACATTTATTGTTTGAATGTCGATTGTTTAAGAAAGAGACAGATCGTTACCTTGGACTGTACATTAGATAAACAACTTCATATTAAAACAACATATTCCTGTTTAGTCAGAACTCAAAAATTGCACATAATAGAGCCTTTTATTTGAACAAAATTCTTCAGTTCATCTGCATATGTGAGTCTGATTGTGGTAAATTGTAGGGATGATACGTAGATATTATTTTCATGCTTTATTCTTATTTTTTTAATTTTGTTTCTTTTATTCCAGTATTATAGATGGCTTTATTAATGATTTATATTTGGTATCTTGATATGGCCTATTGTCTAGTCATCCTTAGACTATTCTAATATGTTCATCAAAATGAAGTAGGATTTACTTAAAAACTAATATTTTGAACATGATCTGACTCCAAACATTACAAAGCATTTTTCGCTTCTTTTTCAGATCAGTTATGGGTTTACTTCGGAGGCTCTGAGTGATAAAAATCAATTCCCATTTTTCTACCGGATGGCCCCCAAAGAAGGGATCCACTACCCAGCAATTGTCCAACTGCTCCTCCATTTCAGATGGACCTTGATTGGCCTCTTTGCTCCAGAAACAGAAGAGGGAGAGAATTTCATGAGAATGTTTACTTCTATGCTTGTCACGAATGGAATATGTGTTGTTATATCACAACGTTTCTCAATGTCTGGACTTACAGATTCGATTAGGGAGTCCATCTCTAAATGGAGGCAGGTCAATGTTTTTGTTTATTTTACAAAATATGGCACCATCACTGACAGAATTTTTCCTGTCCATGTAATTCTTGAAGGTTTACCGGGACATATTGAAGGGAAAGTCTGGATCATCTCAACCTATAAGGAATTGGGACT